ACTTCTGCGTTGTCTTTGATATGTCACTGAAACCAGAAGCCACAATCAAACAACAGTACGTGAATGAACACTAGTGTTTTGTTCATAAATGCTAGATCTATGTGACCACTCTGTTGATGCTGTCTTTGACAAGTTTAACTTTAAAATTAATGTAGCAATTAATTTAAAAAAAAGTAAAAGTACAGGCAAGTATAAGGCACCATGGAGAAACACAACAGCAGTGCAATGCATGAAAAGAAAAAGCAGAACTTACGAGGTGGAAAACAAAGCTATTACAGACCTTCTTTTCAAATGTTATAAACAAGAATGTCAGTAACACAGATGCACTGCTCAGCACTGTTGACAGGTTAAAAAACCCTCCAAACTAACTACCCAGTTAACTGTTTTCTACTCAGAAATGCAAAAAGTTTGCATCATTTTTCAGTGATAAAATGCATAACGTTACAACGGCGATCAATGAATCCTGCTGTGGCTCTGAAATTAGTCTAACTTTGATAGTAAAACTTTGCATGAAACACCTTAAAACGTCCTGTTGACTGGACACTCCAACATTTTCTTTAAAAATGTGCTTATTTGTTTAGTGTTGTCATCCTGGACTGTGATTTTAACATCAGAAGCCACATCAAAAATGACTAAATTACCATCTATAAAACACAGCACCTTTGTGTCCACGCAAGACCTAGAGAAGCGTATTCATGCATTCATTACCAGCAGGATAGATCTCAGCAACATACTTCTCACTGGCCTTCCCAACAAGACTACTAGACAGTCGCAGCTAATACAAAACCCTGATGCCAGGCTCCTGACCAAAACCAGGAAAAGTGCTTTTAATTGTATATAAATCCCATAATGGTCTTGGACCAAAACACCTGGCAGATATGCTTGAATACAGTATAAAGCTCTCAGACTGCTGACTGCTGCATTTTGGTTATGAAACTATTATTCTGGTACTTATTCTATTCTGTGCTTTGTTTCGGCTTTCACTATTTCCTGTTTACTTCCCGTTTTTAATGGTTTCCATGGTTTTTGATTTCCTGCTGTTTCTTGTTTAGTTCCTCATTTGTGACCCTGCAGCACAAAAGCAGTGTTGAGTCGCTGGGGGATATTTGTAGCAATAGCCAACAATACATTGTATGGGTCACAATTATACATTTCTCTTTTATGCCAAAAATCATTAGGATATTAAGTAAAGATCATGTTCCATGAAGATATTTTGTAAATGTCCTACTGTAAATATATCAAAACTTAATTTTTGATTAGTAATATGCATTGCTAAGAACTTCATTTGAACAATTTTAAAGATGATTTTCTCAATATTTAGATTTTTTTGCACCCTCAGATTCCAGATTTTAAAATATTGTCCGATCCTAACAAACCATACATCAGTGGAAAGATAGTTCATTCTCAATTTTGAATTGACCCTATTGACTGGTTTTGTGGTCCAGGGTCACATTTGGTCTGGTATTTATAGCCCTCAGTTTGGTTCTGTAGTTTGCTGTTTTTTTCTTCGTTTGAACAAAGCTGTCATGTTTCTGTTTCCTGTTGGATTGCTGTTTTCCACTCGGATTATAGTCTTATTTAAACAAATGTCTGCTGCATCTACAGCCTAAAATCTCATCTCTTTGCCTCAACGTTACAGAATTGCGGTGACCAAAAGAGGGAAAAAGGTATGCACCAGCAGCAGTACAAATGCTGATTCTTATCAAGGGGGACCATTAACTTGAGGATCACACGCGTGAGTATCTCCATCTAGCTCATGTGTGTGCGTTACTCAGAGGACTTCCTGTGCAGCTCTTATCACACAGGAAACAACAGGGAGGAGGAGGAGGAGGATGCCAACGCCCCAGAGCTCTCAAGACATATGCTGTCATTCCTTCTCAGAGACAAGACCTGTCAAGCCGGCTTGTTGGATACTTTGGCCACAGCCATTTCCAGTAACCATGGTGTCCTAGCCAGCCAGCCATTAAACAGCTTCTTTATCACAATGTATGCATGTATAATTCACTGTTTAGTTTCATAGTATGGTAATTATATCGTGTAATTCAGGTTTAGAAGTGGATTGGGATTCTGTCTCATATGTCTCTTCGCCTGCTATTATGTAAAACCTATAGCTAGGTTCCAACAACCGTTGCACACACATACAAGCAAATCACTTGTTTCACATCCATCTTTCCTGGTTTGTTTTTCCCGTCATTTGAATAATAAATGCAAATAATTCTAAAGTTTCCAGGTGGGGATTTAATGTAAGGAACAGAGTTACCTGCATGACACACACACACATGAAAGGTGTTTAGGTAGGACAGGGGTCCTGGAGGGCCGGCGTCCTGCAGAGTTTAGGACAGTGGCCCTCCAGGAATAGGTTTGGTCACTCCTAAGGTCATGTAATTGGCTGTTGTAAACATTATAGATGAAAACAGTTCCGTAAGTGATACACCGGTACTGTCGTTGTGTAGGCTGCCTAACCATCGGTTTACCATTGTAATGTGGTGTTTTGGGTTGTGTTTCATGTTCATGTTGTCCATGTCTTTTATTTTGTAATTGTTTCCTGATGTTGGTGTCATGCTTCCCTTGCCTCATGTCTCTCTGCCTTGTGTATGTGTCATGTTCTGATTGGTAGTCTTAGTCATGTGTCTTGTTCCCCATTGGTTTGTTCATGTCATGTGACCCTCCTTGTCTGCTATAAGTAGCCTTCATGTTCCCATTGTGAGCTTGTCGTGTATTGATGTTGTAACCTGCTGTCGGTGAGTCAAGTCTGTTCATGTCAAGTCAAGTCTCGGATTATTGTTTGGATGTTTAGATCACTCTGTAAATAAACTGCACTTGGGTTCTTCACTACACTCGCCTTCAGTGGATGATTCGTTACAACCATCGGCAGCAGCAGCGTAGCAAATCTAATCCGCCAAGACCAAATACATTAACATTGCCATGTACATTACCATGCCAATCCCTCCCAGAGTTGTCATGACAGAAATATTTTTCAATAGAAGATATTTATATAGATAGTTATAGTTTATAAGTGTTGGCAAATCCATGTAAAAAAAAAAAAAAAAAAATGAAGGTTCACAAATGTATTTCTGATGAGTACACGTTTCTTGGCTTAAATCACAACACCACTCAAAACTACCTCAGCAACCTCGTCATCCCACCCAGATTTCTGTTCAGAGGGAGAGCAAAGAGCTATATACCTTCTTCATATCAGCACAAAAAGTAGGTTTAATTCTCTCTGGTATATTTAACAGGTTTATGATGACAACAGTGCCGCAGCCATCCAAGAGGACCTCACTTGTACTCCATCCTCGTGGTCCGCAAAGCCAGGGATGGAGGGCTTCAGAAGCAAACTGAAATAGCCATCGAGGGAGCAGAGGTCCTCTTTGCTATTCCCAATGTAGCACATGCTGGCACCTACCTAATGGGCCTTGTTTATGCCTTGGAGCTAAGCTATCCAAAGAAACTGAATCCGGAACATGTTTGTGAGTATGTTAATGTTCAAGGTGAATTTGAAGGAAAGATGACTGCTAAGAAGTGAGAAACATGACTCATGGAAAATATTTTGCACAATGTGAATTTATTTCAATAGAAACTCAAAGAAAATACAATTTTGCTTTATAAGACGATCTGCTTCATTTCCACATTGGGATCACGTTTGTGTGCTTCTTGTTTTAAAGTCTTGAGTGTGTTACTGTTAAGGACTGAAAACCACAATTTTATAGAAAATATTCTGTGCCGTTTTTACTATCAAATGGCAAAAATGTCAGCTTTATGTGATGTAATAACTAGATTTCCATATTTGATGAGTATATATTCTACTGGCATTCCATTGAAAAGTACCAGTGGTGAAATAGTAAATAGTTGCACTAATTGCATTTATACTTTCAGTAGAAATACTTGCTAATTAGAAAATGTGAGTACATGTAACTTAAAAATACACTAACAAATTTGGAAAAACAAAGTAGATCCCACTTGAAATTTGTAATAGGGAAATTTAAAAATTAAGTTGGATTCAATCAAAAATACACATTTAGAACTCTTAAAGTTATGTAGATCGCACACACACACAAAGACTAAAGAAATACTCAAATTAAGTGTACTTTATGTGCAAGTTTTCTTTCAACAGACAGAAAAATGAAGTAGTTTGTACAAACACTGGTCTTGTTTGATCTACGTAATACCAAACCAAATTCATCATTTTTAAAGTAAATCAAGCAGAAATGTTTTATCAGTGTAAGCATTCGTTTTAAATAAGAAACCTTGTGTATTTGGGTTACAACGCAAGTATAGGCTCCTTCTTCGATTTGTTAATAAGAGTTAGAGGTTTAATAAATGCGAATTTGCCATTGTACTGCTTTATGTCTGATCTGTTTTAATAACAATGAACCACAAACTACGATCGTTTTAAATCCATTATATTTGCGTTACAAATTTTGTAAACAAAATAGTCATTTTGTTAATAAAAATTCAGTTTAATATGTGAATTTCTTAATGATACTACTTCATAGTGGGCCTGTGTTTTTTTATTATTGTTAATAAATAGCTATTAATAGCTGTAGACATGCTTGTTAATTCTTCATTTGGGTACAGACGTGTTACAGGGGGGAAAATATGATCAAAAAGTCATGGCAACAAATGTTTTTTTTTTTAAAGTATATGATAAAAGTTGTAAACAACTTATAGGCTACTCAGTCAAATTGATCTGACTTAACTCATGTTTTACAGTGTGACCACAATAAAGGGCTTCTTAGAGTAGCCCACCATACTGACTGGATAATCAGGAAGAATTGCTAGAATTAGAATGAATTATTGTTAGAATTAATACTACTAAAACAAAATAAGATGAATGCGTATGCCTACTGCTGGTTGGCTGCCCACTAGGCATAGGCTCCAGGTCTGCTTCCTTATTTCTTTTTTTGTTACAAAATGTAAATGTATTTATTTTTAACACCGCACCCCCAGCACCCCCATTTCTTCTTTAGCTTTAGCACCCCCAGCACCCCGACGGCCCGCGCAATGGATGGATGCTTCCGAGCGGAACGCAGCGTCACCGCGTCCGGGCATGCGTGCGGTTTATCCGGGCGCTCTGTTATGAAGGGAGACGGCGGAGTTTTACTTCTCTCCGAAAAACCGGTTCGAGTCTAAAGAAGAAGGAACGCCCGTTGAGCTGAACTTTCAGTTTCGATCAGCAGCCGCACTCAAGGCTGGATTTCCCGTGCGCAGTAGCGTTTCGAGATCGATTGCGTGCGACTCTTTGAGACTCGGGCTCGGATTTTGGTTATGCATGGTTGTGTTTCGATATAAGCGATGAAGTCTGTGCTGTGCGCTTTTGTGACGGCTGTGCTCGCGCTACAGCAGGCCGAGTGTCTCAAGAGGAGCTATTATATAGCCATTAGAGAAGAAGACTGGAATTACGCACCGAGCGCCAGAAACCTGATCAATAACCGAAGCATTGAGCAAGACGAGTGAGTACAACTGATGCATATCTATTGACCAGTAACAGTACAAGTCATAGGCGGCATTTTATATTACTGTGTTTATTGTAATAGGCTGCTAGTTAACTAATAAACATCACGCCTATTTATTTATTTATGTTATGTGGATAAAGCTTTTTGTAAGTGCTTGGTGCTGTAGGCTAACACTCTTATAGCATGTATTATTATTATCATTATTATTATTATTAACACTAACATGGATCCTGATCTGTACACCGGTTGTATGATGGACATTACCGATTAATGAATTATTACCATATTTATTTCTCTCTCTAAATGCCTCCCTTTAACAGACACGCGTCGGTTTTTCTGTCAAGTGGCAAGACCCGGATAGGGAGTGTTTACAAAAAAGCTTTGTACAGACAGTACACAGATGGGTCTTATTCCGAGGAGATAGCTAAACCTGCCTGGCTCGGCTTCCTCGGACCCATTTTACGGGCTGAGGTCGGAGATGTCATAGAAGTGCACATGAAGAACTTTGCGACCAGGTCTTATTCTCTCCACCCTCATGGAGTCTTCTATGAGAAGAATTCAGAAGGTTGGATATGCATTATCTCTCTATTAGTTCCATTACTAGTTCTGCTTTCCCCTCCATCCCATTCCTTCTGTTGATTTTGCTGTCTTTCCATGTTTGTCTTTGGGTTACAACAGCAGTTTAGAGTCTCTTGACACATGACCCATAAATCAATAACAGAGCAATAAACGAAAAGTGTGCAGAAAAGTCTCAAGTGGTGTGTCAACACAGCATTTACAAGAGACGGAATGAATCTTTGTAAAATGGCAACTTGAAGCAACCACTTTCTTAGCTCAAATTATTAAACTGTAATTATAAAATGTGCATATCAAAGATTTTTGTCTCTCGTGAATGTCACGACATGTGTACATTATGGGGAATTTTTATGGATTTCAATTGCATACAAATTTTCCATCCATTTGGATTACATAGTTTCAACATAACTTAATTCATATTCAGTCATATGTAAATGAAATAGATACTATGTAATAGTTCACAGCAAAATCCCCAGTGTTAAGTAAACACTGCTCAGTGTTGTGTACCATGTACCACTGAAGCAGTGTTTGTGTTAATACGATAATTATGTGAATTATGTCACATTAGTGATGAACACCTGCTGTAAACAAGCAGAATCGTTTGTGGAAATCGCTGATGGAAAGAAAAACAACAAGAACTGAAAAGAGAGAAACACGAAACCTACAACTGACTCACAACCACAGCCTTGAGATGAAATCAACTGAAATAACAGAAGACATTAAATCTCTCAAGATCTCAGCAGAAGATGATTAAACCACTCCAGTGTGTGTGTGTGTGTGTGTGTGTGTGTGCGCGTGTGCGTGTGTGAGAGAGAGAGATAGCGGTGTGTGTGTGTGTGAGAGAGAGAGAGAGGGGGGGAGGGGACACATCACAAACACATACCAGCTTCATCACTGTGTCTGTCACGAGACTCTGTTCCCCTTTCGGGCTGTCTTTACATTTATTTTGAATGATGAAGCTGTGATTATGGTAAGGGACGTTACATTTCCGACGCGTGCTTGCGGTGTTCGGCCAATCACAATGCACTGGGTCAGCTGGCCAATCAGAGCAGACTGCGCTTGTCGGAAGGAGGGGCTTTGTAGAAAACGAAGCGTTTGAGAGAGGCGGGGCATAGAGGACCTACAATAATGTACAGTATTTGAACAATAATGTGTTTTTTGAACATTAAAGCATGTCAACATATTCTGTTACACCAAATAATGATCTTTAAAAAAGCATCATATGACCCCTTTAAAGTCACCATCAGTGTTTGTGTTTGCCTTTGTTGGGCTCTTGACTCTTTGACATTATCTTTTATGTGGATGTTATAACTTAGTGTTTGTAAGATACATTTAGTATGGCAAAGAAAGCCAAGACAAAAAAAGACAAAAATAAAAATTGAAATGCTGATGCTTACGTGGCATGTTCATAATCGTCTACTTCACTGATCACAATATAGAGTCTAATCTCTGATTAAATGGGTGATGCATTATTTTTGCATTGTTTATTATAGTACAAGTGGGATTCTACAGCAGTGTTGCCCAATACAAAGAATTTACAAAGCAAAAAGTTTTAATCTACAGTACATAATTACATAGACACACACAGACATAATGAATCAGCGTGTGAATCTCATCAATGGGGACAATCAACAAAACGCTTCATGTCGCAATGCATGCTGGGCACAGTACAAGCAACCAATCAGCTGTGAGCAAAGTGACATATATCTGATACAATAAAACCACTCCCCTCTCGCTTCAAATTAAAGCAGTTTATGGTGAATTTCTAGCACAATACAAAGGTTGGTCTGCACTCTTTTATTGGAATCAAAGCAGGAGATAAAATAGACAAACGTTTCGACACTCACGAAGGCAGATAGCTGAAACATTTGATGATTCCAATAAAAGACTAAAGAGTGCAGCCCAACCTTTGTAATGTTTGAAGAAATACAGGTCACCTAATTCAGCTGGGAGAGCACAGTGATTTGCATTGATTAGAAAGAATTGCAGAGACAAAATCTGCTAATTATTTACAATAATTATCAACTTATGCCAACTCTAAACCTACTCTAAAACTCAGAGTTTGTTGAGCTATCTTCATGCAACAGGCCACAGTTGTAGTTCTTGTTTCGTTTCTCTTTTTTCTGTTCTCGTTGTTTTTCTTTCCTCCAGTGATTCTGCTTGTTAGCAGCAAGTGTTCATCATTAATGCTCAACTGTCACGTGATTATCTCCTTAAATCCAACACTGTGAACTATTACAGAAATCTTACCGTTTCATTTACGTATGACTGATGCATATGAATCACATTACATTTATTAATTTGTGCTGAAACTATGAAAAATTAGATTTTAGTGTAACCTTGGTACAACACCTTTGTTTTTAATCACGTAAAACAAGTTAACCAGCAACTTTCCCTGTCATTTGTTCATAATTTTTTATGAGGTTAAGTTTAACTTTACAGTGTCTACTTCCATCGCAGGCCAATTTACTGAATAGGCATTATTGTGTAAACGTGTTAGTCATGCAAATATTTCCAAATGAACGTAGCTTCCATAAAAATCTGGTTGGACTTGGAAGAAAGGTTGTTTATTGAATTGTATACTAAAAGAGCAAGGAAAATCTAGTGTTGATACAGTGTGCCCCCTTTAAAGTCCTAGATTTGTTACCATTTGTCAAATACGAGTCCTTGAACAGATGAGATTGGACAAGTGTGAATTCGTTGCTCTGTATTTTAGGAGCGTTGTATCCAGACGGCACCACTGGTCGTGATAAGAGAGATGATGCGGTGGCTCCAGGTGAGAGCTACACATACACCTGGCAGGTCAAACCAGAGTACGCTCCTACTGAAGCAGATGCCAACTGTCTCACCTGGATTTACCATTCACATGGAGATGCACCAAAAGACATTGCATCAGGGCTGATAGGAGCTCTGCTCACCTGCAAACAAGGTAAACAAGCCCTAATAATCTGTACATGCATGGAATACATTTAGTTTACATGCACACAGATGATTGTACAGTCAACTACTTCTTAGCATCAAGCACTGCTCCCTTCTAACTCTGATTATTTTTACCCTTTTTAGTATTTTCCTAATATCTTTTTCTCCTCTTCAGGCACTTTGGTCTCTAGTCAAAAGCGCTCTGATGTGGATGAAGATGTCATTTTGATGTTCAGTGTGGTGGATGAGAACTTGAGCTGGTACTTGGAGGAGAATATTGAAAAGTTCTGCTCTGATCCAGACGAAACAAAACAACATATGGAATACGTAGACGAGGAGTTCAGAGAGTCCAACCTCATGCACTGTGAGTCTCAGGATGCCTCAATCTTTAACCGTATCCATGCATAAAAATTGGGTTGTTGCTCCTTGTGTTCTAATGAGGAAGGTTCTATTTTTAACATAGAAACTAAAAACTTAACCATTTATATGAATGTGTTTTATACAAATATACTATACACGTCTACAAAGCAGCTTACATTGCACTGTAGCGCTTAAACAGTTTAAAAGAAGTGATTAATTAGCAATCTACTGAAATATCTTTAGGATTGAAATGATCAAATTTCACTGTGTTTGGTGCTGACTACTGAAATGTACCATGGCACACACTAATGGGAATCAAAACTAAAGCTTTTTCCCCCAACTACAGCTACATTAATGTCTGTAACCAACGGTAAAAGGTTTTATAAAAGTAAGCCCATACATTCCCGTGGTGCACTCTTTAGCTGATGTTTTGCATGCTTTGATGGAAAGTACCTTGTATCTGTTCCACTTTGGAACAAAGCCATTCAGAAAAGTTTAGTTTTCCTTTTGATATCCAAAGTTCTCTGCACTCTAAGATACAAACACAGCTGTTTGTGGTTTTAATTTCTAAGCCTGACATTTTGTTATCTAAATGAATAATAGGCAGAATTATTGTTTTCCTTATATGTGACCATGGACCACAAAACCAGTCATAAGGGTCAATTTTTCGAAATTGAGATTTATAAATGAATATTTGGCTGAGATACAACTATTTGAAAATCTGGAATCTGAGGGTGCAAAAAAAATCGAAATATTGAGAAAATCATCTTTAAAGTTGTCCAAAAAAGTTCTTAGCAATGCATATTACTAATCAATAATTAAGTTTTGATATATTTACGGTAGGAAATTTACAAAATATCTTCATGGAACACGATCTTTACTTAATATCCTAATGATTTTTGGGATTTCTGACCCATACAATGTATTGTTGGCTATTGCTACAAATATACCCCAGAGACTTAACACTGCTTTTGTGCTGCAGGCTCACATATATTTAATTATAAAGCTCATGTCATCTCATCATTTATCTCTCAGTCTCACTCGTTCAGTTTGTTCTTGTCTTTTTCCCATTAGCAATCAATGGCTATGTTTATGGGAATTTGCCTGCGCTGAAAGTGTGTGTCGGACGTCCCGTGTCTTGGCATCTCTTCGGTATTGGTAACGAGGTGGACATTCATTCGGCTTATTTCCATGGGCACACCCTCGTGGATCGCATGCACCGCACAGATGTGCTTAGTCTGTTTCCTGCCACTTTTGTCACCGCAACAATGATCCCCAGAACAGAAGGAAAATGGTTGTTAAGCTGCCAAGATACAATGTATTGTTGGCTATTGCTACAAATATACCCCAGCGACTTAACACTGCTTTTGTGCTGCAGGCTCACATATATTTAATTATAAAGCTCATGTCATCTCATCATTTATCTCTCAGTCTCACTCGTTCAGTTTATTCTTGTCTTTTTCCCATTAGCAATCAATGGCTATGTTTATGGGAATTTGCCTGCGCTGAAAGTGTGTGTCGGACGTCCCGTGTCTTGGCATCTCTTCGGTATTGGTAACGAGGTGGACATTCATTCGGCTTATTTCCATGGGCACACCCTCGTGGATCGCATGCACCGCACAGATGTGCTTAGTCTGTTTCCTGCCACTTTTGTCACCGCAACAATGATCCCCAGAACAGAAGGAAAATGGTTGTTAAGCTGCCAAGTCAACGATCATGTAGAAGGTAGTAACTGTCTTTCTGTCATCTCTGTGTGAAGCCTAATATTCGTTCCTAATTTTTGGATGCATTGTTTTTGTCTCTAATCAGTGTATGATCACTTTCAGTTTTGATTTGTAGCTTGGTACAGTGTTCATGTTTTAAGCTCCTTTTAATTCCTTCACTGAAAAAGAAAATTCATCATTGTGTCATACCAACAATTTGAATCCATAAATGTATGGTAACTTGTCAGGATAATTTACACTATTTAAAATTAAATTTATTTTTAGAGCTTCAGCTCTGTTGTCTTTATCAGTAATTAAATTCAAAAGGACTGCCTATGACTTTTTCTTTGAGTACACTTGAGTGTCTTGAGTTTACTTGAGGGAGGCAGGTCAATTTATGATTTCAAGATATCTTCTCTCTCTCTGTTCTTGTGAGCAGCAGGTATGCAGAGTTTCTATGAGGTCTCGGCCTGTGGGTCCTCAGTCTCTCCAACAGAGGCCCCTGGCAAAGAGAGACATTTCTACATCGCTGCTGAGGAGATGGACTGGGACTACGCACCTTCAGGGATGAACTACATGACAAATAAATCACTTACTGAGCCAGACAGGTAAAAACACAGATTTGGAGATGCTTTAATGCACGATTGAGTAACTCAAAACCTGCTAGATCTGAAATCTGAAATTGCTGAGGGATTCTGAAGCCTCTGAGCTTATGCTTTGCTTTTAAATGTTACTGAATAAATTTGGATGGGATTAACTTTTGCCACTATCCGTTAATGCACAGACAATGTAGAAGAAGCCATAGAAAAATCTAAAAATGAAAGATAAATAAGTTGATTTATTATAATTGATGTAATTATCACATATAATTGCTGCTGCAGGTCTGGTATTATCTATTTCTAATTGAATTTTACCTTTTATTTTTTATTTGTAATATGCATGTTGATTTCGTAATTGTATTAGATTACTTTCATTTACGTTAATGTCTTTCTTTCCCTTCAGTGACTCTGAATCGTATTTCAGTCGTGATGGTGGTAAGCTGGGTGGAAATTACCTGAAGGCCAGATACATTTCATACACGGACAGCACATTTACTACCACAACACATATTGCGGGCTCGGATGAGCACCTTGGAATTCTGGGTAAAATCCTCGCTTGTGTCTTGCATGTTTCTGAACACTGATGGGTCTTTGGTAATATTTTAAAGTTGGTATGAAACGAAATGTCAGCAAAGAGGATTCAGTCATATCACAGGAGGAGCAAGTTTTGATTAAAGGTTTGAGGTAAAAAAAAAAAAAAATGCATATATGAATGGTTAACAATAAGACCAGTAACATGCATGACGAAAAATATGGTTGATTTTGATTTCCTGCCAACTTTAATGTTTCTGAATAAGAAGTATAGTAATATGCCCTAGAGGTGATGCCATGCTGTGATGTATGAGTGCCTTTCAGGCTTATTCATGTAGTTTAAATCAGTGGTTCCCAACCCTGGTCCTGGAGGCACCCCAACACTGCACATTTTGCTTGTCTCCTTTCTCTGCCGCACCAATTTCAGGTCTTGAAGTCTCTACTAATGAGCTGATGATGTGTTTGTTTTGTCTGTCTGTGTGTGTGTTTGTGTGTGATGTTTTTTCCATGGTACGGGTGTGTTTCTTTAGTATGCCAACAAAATTCAGCACGAGTTTTTTCTGCTGTTCTCTGTCATGGATGAGAATAAAAGCTGGTATCTGCAAAAGAATTTGAACAAGTTTGGTAGCCATGATTCAGATCCAGCCAATGAAGAGTTTCAGGAAAGCAATAAGATGCACGGTATGCATATATGTGTTTAATCGCACGATCATGTGCATTTACATCCACACTTTGTGAATATACAAGTTTATGGTTTGACGGTATTCTAATTAAGAATGTGTGTGTTCCTTCTCAGCGGTGAATGGCTACATGTATGGAAACCTGCCTGGTCTGGACTTGTGTAATGGGGAACATGTTATGTGGCACATACTTGGCTTGGGCACTGAGGTGGATATCCATGGGGTCTATTTCGAGGGTAACACGTTTCAACGAGACGGGATGAACCGTGACACTCTCAGTGTCTTCCCGCATACCGCAGTGACTGTTAGCATGACACCCGACAATAATGGTAAGTCACAGCGCTTTTACATCAGGGATATAAGTGTGTAAATGCTTATCCTGTACACTCAAGCAATGGACGATATGACTGGCTTTGGCACGTTACTTGTAATGCTTTTACTAATAATGATTTTGGTTTTGTGCCAGATCCTAACCCAACTAACAATGATTGTTTCCAAGAATATTCTGGAAAAGTTATTTTTCTCAGGACATTTCCAGACCAGACACTGCAAGTACAAAGTACAAGCACAAGGTGCATACAATAACCACAGCTATAAATAAATAGAAAATGAATACAAATATATAAATTTTATACTTGGTAATTTGATGCTAATGAAATCACGGACCTGCAACACTGTTTCCAATTAGTAAATCATGAAAATCTCAAAAATTCAAGTATTCGGTGATTTCAAATGAGATTTATAGAGTTTGCTGAATATTAATAGTTTTGCCCACTGAGCAAACCAAAGGTGACAGTGGTTTGGAACAGAAACTCTATCAGGTGCTAGCAGTGAGAAACCTCTGGCCACAGAATGAACGAACGAATAGAGCGAACACAATGTGATTGATGATTCCAAGTACAAGTCAATGTTTCTGTATGGTATTCAGAATTGGAAGCAGCTCTTTTGCTTAGAGATTGGCATGGACCACAATGGACTTGGGTGAGATCATTGAGGCAGGGGTTGTATTCTGACCAGCAGGTTTAGGTCTACTTTACAATCCCAGCTGGTCCTGGCATGATGCGTTATGGCCTTAGCTGGAAATAGGGGGCCTGCATCGAGGGACTGTCTGGTTGTAGAGGTCTGTGTATGTTTGTGGTATTTGCTGGGCGCAAGTCTTAACATCTGGCCTAAGAACAGACTGACTATAGGGGCTTTCGCACCGGAGGAACCTTTCATAGTTCCTAAAACTATTGGCGGAAGTACCCACTTTTTGGCGTGTTCGCACCACAGGAACTAGGAACTTAGTTCTAGGAACTCCATTTGGGGGAACTAAATTAGCTCCTACTTCAGAGTAGGGTCTAGAACAGTTCTATAGGATCTATCAGTGACGTAAGGGTACGCTGCTTGGCCAAACGCATATGACTACCCGGCATTTTTAAAAAGCCATGTAAAAATGCTTACTCCGTGAACATGGAAAACATCGATAACGGCATTTACCTGTTGTCTGCAGTGTTGTGTGTGCTCTTCTCTCAGCCTCGATATGTAACACTGCAAGTTGTCATATAGGAGATTTTGTCTCTTAGCCCAACTTTTTGCTCTTTCAGTCGCGTAACTTGAGCATTTACATCCCATCTCCGTTATCACGAAACCCAAGACACACAACAAAAACAGCTCCGATCATGGCGTTCTTCTTGATGATTTCATGTTCTAATGATAATGATGAATTAACAATATTAAGAAGGGTTCCGAACTTCAGCTTGGTTTCAGAAATGCGATACAAAATGACAATGGCAGCTCCATTTTACCGTTTCTACAGTTTAAAGTGAGAAGCACATCAAAACAATGGTCATTCTGAGCACTTGTTAAACTGTTTCGTTGGATATTGTGGTATTTTGCATTCAAAATATTGAGCAAAAGTGGCACCTTTTCTTCTCAACACACTTTTTGCGAACATGCTGACTATTATTGACCAACCGCTTGATTCCGATGGTCACGCTTTTATAGTTTGGAAATTTCCAGAGTACTGCGTTTTTCTTAAAAAGGCATTTCACAATTTTTGACTGTTCAGTGTTAGTTAAGTCTCTTTTTTTACCAGTAGTAAAAATCTGCCTAATAAATATGCACATCTGTATTTAAAGTGTTTGCCACTTTAGCTAGCTACACCTTCCCTCATTAACAATTACACATCACCTGAAAATGATAACACTCAGTAATTATTCAGATTAATGTGTTTTCACCAAGCAAAGTTGCATATTTTCGTCCAATTCTTTTCTTAATAATAATTACTATATTATTAATCACAATAAAGCTTTTTTTATTTTATCTTGTTATTAAAAATAAGAACAAAAATGCAAATAAACAGTAGTGTAATAAAGAGCAGCGAGTGAGTCCATCTTTTCTATTAACGTTTGATTAACATCGAGACAGATCTATATGAAGATCTACTGTAATGCATGCATCTAATATAATTTTATACATCAGATTTTTCCATTAACCATTAACTAAATGTTCATGTAAGACATAACAGTTTATGTTTGTGTGAATCTTGCCAAGACATATTTCGCAATAATGTACTTTATAGGGAGATCGCGCACTCTCAGAGAGGCACGTCTTATGCACGCGCTTTGCAAATGTCAGTCAGTGCAATCATTTTGTTTTCAACAACATGGGTTTGAAAATCATATTCCACTGGTTTGGACTCGTGTCATCGAGAATTCGATATGAATACTCACAAAGCTGCAATGCTGCGACCTACAACTTGAGAAGCAGCAGCAGTCATCCAGAAGCGAGCAGAGAAAAAGCTACTCCTCTCTAGAAGAGGGCTTAATAAACTCATTTTTGTGAAAACCTCAAATTTGACCAAAACTGACTTTTTTCGCTCTTTTTGCCTGTAGCTCAAAATTAGACCGTACGCATTCCGACTCATTTTGCCAGCACGGGTCACACATGTTTGATATACAAACTTGACACTAGATATCAGGACGCACAAAGAGAGACTAACTAGTCTTTAAAATGCAACTTTATAACTAGTCTGTAGGTGCTTGTACCCCGTGTAGTCTCTTCACAGAGTGAGATTTCTGCTCTTCTTGGCAAGTGCCTGGATGTGGAATGCTGTTCCCAACAAAGCAGTCTATGTCTAGTACTATACTCCAGAGGGTATTGAGCCCCTGCAACCCACAAAATTTGTTGCAGAGGCACGACTGAATGATTTGATGTCTGTGAATGCACGTTTCTTACCCAAAGTTGTTGAATGCTGGCTGCAAGACCAGCAAAGGGTCAGAGACTGTGGCCGACAGACGTCGACAGATAACACACTGATCTGAAACTATTTGTCGGTGTCTGTCAGTACAGTGTGAATTGGCCTTTAGAGATGCCAGCTGAGAGGCGATGACATCTGTGAAGCAGTACATAAGGATTTCTTAGTGCACACAGTGTGTGCATGATAGTGTTAAGTTGTTCAAGCATATTCTATGGCTGGTCATTGGTTGCTAATTCAATATAATCAGTTTACCTAACTAAGGTTAGCAATGCTTGGCTTTCAGTCTACTATAATTAAAAGGTAATTTCCAGGTAGCTTATTTTTTATTATTTGTACATCTGCAATGCTATATCTTACGTCTCGTCAAAGTGAATCCCATTAATCTTCTGGTGTGAAATACTAATGAGCATAATATTAGTGCTGTGTACAGTAGTCAGCATTTGAAGTGGATCAAAAAAGTTCATCAAAGTTGTCCGAAGACAAGAGTTTTAGGATAACTTTGATGAAAGGTTTTGATCCACTTCAAATGTTGACTACTGTACATCAGAAGTAAGTTTAAACTTAAAAAATGATGACAGAATGTCCTGTTTTGGTAGCATGCCTTTGTTTAGTTTTTGTCACTATCAACATTTTGATCATTTTCACAAAACATTCATGGCCCCCAGAATATTTTGTTGTATGAATTTCTGAACATGCAAAATGTAAAAAAAACAAAAAAAAACAAAGCCTCTGCTTTTGTACCATTTCTGCTTTCCGCTTTTTCATCAAAACTGGAATGTGGGAAAGTTTCATATAAAAAAGCAACGTGGTGAACAGTAGATAATTTCCATCAAGACCCCAAATCTTCACAGTCCTAAACCACTCCTGGGTCGTCATTTCATTTGATAGCATCAGGCAGTTTTGATTTATATGCTGTTTAATGTCTGATTTTTCCATAATTGTGCATATATATGTGATCACTTGTTTCTGCTTCTTCGCCATGTTTTGATCCAGACATTTGGTACTCTTTCAGAAGATGTGTAATTGTGCCCCCTACTATATAGTAGTGAAAACACAGAAAGGCAGAAAATTCAGTCAATGATGGGGAAAGAGTTAAAGAAAATTTTTAAAGGGGTCATAGGATGCTACATGCACTTTTACAAGTAGTTTGAACTGAAATGTGTGTTGGCAGTGTGTGTACACAACCACCCTATAATGATAAAAATCCACCCGGTGGTTTTTTGTTAATCTATTAACATTTTTCCCTCTTTCTCAAATCGAGCCGATCTCAGATGCCTGTCTGTGTGATGTCACAAAAACAGGCCCCTCCCATGATAGTGTGATTGACAGTAGCGTTTCAGCACAGACTGGACTGGTGTCTTACTTTAGCTCCGCCCTGAGTGACTGTCATCAGTCCGCCATTGCTTCACCGCCGGAGCAGATGTAGACCAGAATGACTCCTAAGTGATCGAGATGTTCTGTTGTTGGATGTAATAATGAACATAGCAGTCCTCATTTACTCCCGACATCTGAGCCACTGAAGACGCAGTGGATTACGTTTGTTTCTGAAGGGAATGCGCCCCCAATCTGCATAAATGCATCTATGTTAGCGCGAATCATTCGTGATCCAGCCTCATCTACAGCAGAAGTGAGTGTAAGGGTTTTTAATGAATCTTTGCAAATCGCCTTTCCTAATAACGTGCTGGTTAGCAAGTTTCACGATGAATGCGGCTGAAGTAAACAGTCCCTCAGAGAGCGGCTCGGAAGAGAGGGGCGGGGTCAACAGAGCTCATTAACATTTAAAGGAAAATGCTACAAAAGTGCATGCTCTGAAAAGAGGTGTTTTTTACACTACCATTGAGAAATTAACCAAACTATCTTACAGACTTTTCATTAAGACCCTAAAGAATCATATCAACTTGTGGAAAATGGGCATCCGATGACCCCTTTAAACACATTTCAGCCATCTATAATCCATAAGATTATGGGAGCAGCTACCCATTAGGGTTCAAGGGTATGTGGGATTTGGCACGACAACGGTTTAACAAAGTTAGGCAAGACTATACAAGTTTTCTGCTTTCATATACAGTTGTTAGGTATGTATAATGTATGAAAAGCTTGTTGTTGTTTTGTTAAATGATTAAAAGATATTTGCTCATCAGTATGCTCTTCTCTTCTCAGGCCAGTTTGAGCTGAGCTGTCGTACGGGTGAACACTACCACGCTGGCATGCGCCAGCATTATGAAGTCAAGTCCTGTTCAGCAGAGACTCCTGCAGCAGAACATTTCACCTCCACAGTGCAGTACTTCATCGCAGCAGAGGAGGTCGAGTGGAATTATGCTCCAGACCGCACATGGGAACTGGAGAAACACAAAACTACACTGGAGGACAGGTATACACACAAACGTAAAAGCATGTTATGTGCCGTCTACAGTCTGTAAGGACGAGTCGGGAAAAGTTATGGATAGAGTTAACACTCCAACTGAGACTGGACTGAGAAGAGTCAAGTCTCATGCTTGAGACTCTCTATTTCACACAAAGCAAGCTACAAAGTTTTACCAATTTACTTATGTTACCTTACATTATTTTAAAATTACTAGAATGCATACACATTTAGACACATTCATGCCCATGTTATCTTTTGTGTTTTGTTCTTTCCTGCTTTGTTTAGCCCTGGAGGAATTTATCTTGAACAGTCAAAAAATAGGATTGGTGCAAAATATAAGAAGGTGGTGTTTCGTGAATATTTAGATGAAACCTTTACCAAAAAGAAACACAGACGTCCAGAGGAGGAGCACTTGGAAATAATGGGTATGTCACATCTTACTTTAGAAGTGTGAATTGTGAACTACTTTTTTCCATAAAAAAACTTCTTAAGATTTATTAATATTTATCGCGAATTAAATTTGGCTGTGAAATTACCCACAAAAGATAATTAAAGCCATTATTGTGTTAAATGAGAAAGTATCAAGTAGACATTACAAATAGTAGCTTTACAAAGAATTATTTGATTTAACATAAAATGTATTACACATAAAGGTTAAGGCTACAACAGCAACAATGGAACATAAAAGAAGATCATTTGAGAAACATCTCAGTATTTTTTGTTTTAATGCAATGAAAGTCACTTGTAACTAAAACAACCTAGTTACCAACTGTCTTCAAAATACTTTCTTTTATGTTGTGCAAAAGAAAGTCATACAGGTTTGAAACGACAGGGTAGTTGATGACAGAATTTAAATTTTTTGGTGAACTATCCCTTTAATGTTGTAAATAACTTTGAGTCATTCATTCATTCGATTCGTTCAAACTGCTGATTCATTCAAGAAGGAAGTAAACGGTTCACTTTATGAATAGGCTATTGAGTCATTGGTTCACACGATTCATTTAAAACATGGATTCATTCAGAAACAAATTAACGCTGTGTTGCTCGGAGACACACAATTTTGCTTTGGCTTTAAAGGTAATTTCTCTGCAAAATTAATTTCAAATGTAACACAATATTACCTTTTTATTTACTGAACTGTTGTATCACATTTAATCTCGTGATATTCAGGACAAAAACAGCGCTCGTGTGATATCATATGAAATAAATACGAGACAAAAATTCATACATTCATTCATACACATATTGAATTTTAGGGCATAACTGCATTTATGGAGTTGTTACACTGCATCATATTTGTCAACAGTCAACTGTATGAAATGTATGATGATGTACGGGTCTAGGGGCGGGGCCAGTGCATTAACTGCGTTAAAATATTTTAATCGTTTTATTTTTAATTAACTAATAACTAATTAATTAAGTTAACGCGTTAAAATGACAGCCCTAATATATATATACAGAGAGAGAGAGAGAATCGTAATTAGGTTGTTAGATTGACTATTGACAAAGCAGGTCTCTTTGTTTTAGATCATTACCTTTGCTTTTGTGGTTCTATATTGACTCTGTTTATTTCCAGGACCCATCATTAGAGCTGAGGTTGGTGAGAAGATTCAAGTTGTGTTTAAAAACAAAGCCAGCAAGCCATATTCTGTTCATGCCCATGGAGTGAAGACCAGTGAAACCCATCAGAACGGTGTTCAACCAGGTCTGTTATTACTCCGATTTGTCTTTTATGTGGTCAGGAGTAAACCAATAAGTAAACCTCTCTGTGTGCATGTGTAACATGTATTATAGGTCATATGACGACATACAGCTGGACCATTCCAAAACGATCAGGTCCGGGTCGCAGTGATCCAAACTGTATAACGTATGCCTACTACTCGTCTGTCAGCCTAGTTGAGGTATAAAACGTGTAACAATACACATTGTTTTTATGCAAGGGTGATGCATATTATTAAACCAAATGTAAATTTGATAGTGTGAGTTTTTACAGATCTTCTCTGTGAATGTTCTTCAGGACTTGATGAGCGGTTTGGTGGGTCCACTGATAGTGTGCCGCAAAAACACCCTGAACACCGACAGACGTAGAAAAGACATTGATAAAGAGTTTGCGCTCCTTTTCTTGGTGTTCGATGAAAATGAGTCCCACTACCTGGATGAAAACATAAAAAGGTACCTCAACGCAGACCCAGAAAAATACGAAGAAAAATATGATGAGGACTTTATGGAGAGCAACAAAATGCATGGTAATTTTGTGTGTGTGTCATTGTCTGTATTACAAGTTTTCTGGAGAAACACATGGCGTAGACTGTTTGAAGAGCTTTAAACTCTCTCTCTCTCCCACAGGTATTAATGGAAAGATGTATGCTAACCTCCATGGGTTGAATATGACAGAGAATGACAAGACCGAGTGGTATTTGATAGGACTGGGGAATGAAGTCGACATGCACACTGTGCATTTCCATGCTCAGAGCTTCATTTACAAAGTACATACATAAACACACCAGGGCAGATGAAAACAGTATTTGTGACAATCAATTGTTATGGGTTCCAGCGCATGTAGGAGTGAAGGGGAATGAAAAAGTAGATCAGGCGTTGAAGAAGGAAAACGTAGAAATGAAAATAAGAATCAGTAAAGCAGAAGTGAGAAGCATAATCTGGGGAAACAATAAACCAAATGTGGCAAGAGTTGAGGGATAAAGAGGGAAAAGGGAGACATCTATTTCAAATTGAAAAGAGTATTAAAGTAAGTAAGGTAGGAGTTGGGAACAGGAAAGGGAAAACTTAATAAGATGGATGGCAACCGAAGAATTGAAGAAATAGGGATAGAAAATATTACGCTTAAAACTCTGTTGAAAAATGGCTTGAATCATTATAAAATATATAATGCTTTAATGACATACTTAAAAATTTAGAATTTTTTTTTTAAATTATTTTGTTCTTCCTATTAAATCAATGGTGCATATTGTTTGTTTGCCAACCGCCATTAAACTCAAGAAGAAGAAGAAAATGTTTGCGGAAATAGTGTCTTTGTTTGTGTATTTACATCTAAAGCCAATCACTGTATCCGTTAATACATAAAGTTTGTAGCTATTGAGTACAAATGGGGAGAATTAGTACTTTTTGAGCAAGGATCCGCATTCTTTTTCAGTCAGTTCAAAGGTGTATGGATGTTTGTGATTAGAGTTTGTAGGTAATAAAAGGAAAGTTATGACTATAGCGCATGCTATTCTCACACCCGTCATGATTTATTTCTGAGAGTGTATGAGAAGCGTTAAACATGGTTTAACCATGTGTGCAGTTGCCATACTGTATTAAAGCTTTAATCAGGATAAAACCGTATATTAAATGCTAACATAAACAGTAGCATTTACAAATAACAGCGTATCTAAAAGTATGAGACATCAACAAACAAAAAACACAGGCCTACCATTAAAAGCCGTGCTTGCACAGGTTCTGCACGATCCTCTTCAATAATATCCTCTGCTTCTCAATCGAGCTCAAACTGATGAGCGATATTAACGACGCCGTTGTTTACAATACAGCCGGAGCACATGCCGCTGAGGTGAGGGGCGGGACGTTTAGACGCGCACTAGAGGCGGTTTAGCCAATCACAAGTTAACACACTGGACTAGCTAACCAATCAGAAACAATCGCCTATTTCTGAGGGAGGGGCTTCATAAAAGCAGGAAATGATCAGCGTGTTTCTCAGAGAAGGGACAGAGCGGTGTGGAATAAAGGTAAATTATGTGAAAAATAATGTGTTTTTTTTTTTTAAACTAAGCATTAGCTCATGTCAGAATGCACCCCATAAACCCAGTCAAGCCAAGAAAAAAAACAGTGAACCACCCCTTTAAGAGCAGTAAAGACATGCATGCCTGCCATATTTTCTTTTGGTGTTTATACAGTAGTTTTTGTAGAGCCTATTCAATGACAGATCAGTTGCCACTATAATGATATTGTTCTGAACGGGAAACACTCCACACCTGGGGGATTCCAGAAAGCCTGTGTGTTTGCGCAGAGTAAACGAGTTTCTTTAACTTTCTTTTTCAAAAAAACTGAAGTAACTTTTAGGATAAGTAGTTGTAGCAGCTTATTCTTTGAACATAACCTGCTCTGGATAGGAATGTTCCTGTTGCTGCAGGTAAATAAACTGTATATCTCATCTTCAGAGGTATTTGGCTTCAGTAGGTGTGACCAGAGGCGGACTTAACCATTAGGCAAAGGTAGGCGACCGCCTTGGGCCCCCAAAAGCCAAGGGCCCCCTAAAATGCTTTTTATATGTGAGATGCGCGTTCAGTGCGGATGCACAAGTGGTTGCTCTGGTGTTCAGTAGCACGACAGCCGTCTGTGCGTCCGCATTGAACGTGCTTCTTAGCAAAAGTAGGGCGATGTAGAAAATGGGGACGGAATCCCGGAATCTATTCATACAAACGGAATTTACTGTGTAACGCGGAATGTGACGGAATGAACGGCGCAGACGCACGTTTCGTTTGCTATTGCACGCGCAGCACTCCCGGTTGTCGTCTGTAGTAGCTAAATAGTGTTTTTGCCATTTAATATTCACATACACTAGTCCATATCGCGGTTTCATTGAAGTGCACTGAATTGCATTTGATTTATTCATTCAATATTTGACGAATTCCGTGACTTTGCTCGTTACACGGTAAACTTATGTTGTGTAGCATTTTGAATGTACACAAATGAAAGGGTTTGTTTAATTTTCATTGGAACAAAAGACAGATTCATGTTTTTGCCTTCATTTGATTACCAGAAAAATTAAAATACGCAACACAGAATTTCTAAAAAATAAGTAAATAAACTTACAATTTCATAGGGCCGCTCGTTACACGGTAAACTTATGTTGTGTAGCATTTTGAATGTACACAAATGAAAGGGTTTGTTTAATTTTCATTGGAACAAAAGACAGATTCATGTTTTTGCCTTCATTTGATTACCAGAAAAATTAAAATACGCAACACAGAATTTCTAAAAAATAAGTAAATAAACTTACAATTTCATAGGGCCATATTATTGTATACAAATTAATAAATTAAGTTGTTTTCATGAATTTTTCTAAAAAAATAAGTAAATAAAATTTACATTTAAATTTCATACGGCCCTATTATTGTTTACAAATTAATAAATTAAGTTGTTTTCATGAATTCAATTAATTAGATATGTTTTTGATTAAACCATTAAAATGGAATACAGAAAAATTAAAATGGAAAGCGCAGAATTTGGGCCCCAAGAATGTAATTTTTGTAAAACTTTTAATAGGCCTAAACTGCTGTTAAATTAAAAAAGTTTCATGATTTTAATTCATTATACATGTTTTTTGTTCAAATTTAATATAATCATTCAGAAAAATTTAAACGGAAAAAAAAACCTGAACACAAAATTTTTTTAACGAAGGCTAATTTGGGAAAAATAAAACGGATTTCATAGGGCCCTACAGATATCATGCATCTGAAGCTATAATTTTAATACTAAGCAACAGTGCATATTATATAGGGCCTATTTTAATTTTTTATTCGTTTTTTTGTGAAAGACCCAAGAAGAACCATGCACAGTCACTTTCCACACAGGCACTTCATGTTTGGTTGAAATAATCCTTAAGCATGTAAATTTATAATTAAATGTGCAAATAAAATAAATAAAAAATAAATGTATGTTTTAAAGTTTAGAATTATACAGCCTTGAGTTGTGTAGACAATTGCACAGTGAAAATGACCCCAACGCACCACCTAGCGTCCAACCTACTCTAATACTATTATAAGCTGTTTAAATGTGAACAAGGGATTTACAACATTAAAGAAATCCTTTATTTATAACATGTACATGAAAAATCTAAAAGATTAGACACAACTATGGGACACGGTCGTGCAGCAGCGAGCAACAGTGAAAGCAACCTCAAGGTTGTAAATGTGTGAAATTGTATAGGGCCCCATTCCTGTATTTTGCCTGGGGCCCCCAAATCACTAAATCCACCCCTGGGTGTGACAGCAGATTTTGCTGTATGTTATTATATTAAGTGCATTACATTAAGTTTTATATATATATTTTTTTTTTTTTGGCATTATTATAAGTGAAGTTTATTGTATACTATCACAAAATTATATATATATTCATTTCAAACATGAAATTCTGCATTAAAAAATTAATATGCATGCTACATCTCACTTTACACTTTTTTTTTTTTAGTTTGATCATAATTTTTAGTTAGCATCAAACAAAAATGTTAAACGGTTTGATGGAAAATAAGAACAACTTGAATAGTAATGTATCTGGAATCCTTTGACTTTGATACATAACTAACATAAATGTTAAAGTGAGACTGTTCTCATATAGTAAGGCGACAGATAACACTAAAAACACTACAAGCACAAATGTTCGAGTTTGTGTAGCAGACGAAACTGCTCTGCTTATTTTGCATTTGGTTATCAAGTTTTTAGCACTGAGCCCATATAGCAGCCAAAAAAAGTATTAACAGGTTTATTATTATTTTATTTTATTTATGCATTAGCGTATTTTTTTCTACAACTGGAATACCTCGTTTGTGTTGCTTCCTAATGAGGATTTACATTATTTTACACACTGCATATTTTAGCACAGAAACCTGAAAGACTGTCTTGACTGTTGTCATATCTTAAGATTACTGATCTTGTGTGAGACTTGATTTATTATCATTTTTTTTCAATAATTAATTTTTCTTTATTATTTAAAAAAAAAGTGTAGGCCTATTTTTTTTGTTGTCAGTGTCCCAATTGAGGAACAGGATGTGAAAATTTAAGATAAATGTTCATGTTATACGTTTTGGTTGCATTTGTGAGTTAATAAACATGTAGATATCGATATATCGATCGATGTTCTCCTTTATCGAATCGTATCGTAGAATTTTTTGAAGTAACGGCAAATATCGTATCGCTGGGTATGAGAATCAATATCGTATCGTATCGTGACAAACCATCCGATTTACACCCCTAGTAGATTTGCATTGAATTGGCTGGAGGTATAGTTCACCCATACATGAAAATACATGAAAAATCTAAAAGATTAGACACAACTATGGGACACGGTCGTGCAGCAGCGAGCAACAGTGAAAGCAACCTCAAGGTTGTAAATGTGTGAAATTGTATAGGGCCCCATTCCTGTATTTTGCCTGGGGCCCCCAAATCACTAAATCCACCCCTGGGTGTGACAGCAGATTTTGCTGTATGTTATTATATTAAGTGCATTACATTAAGTTTTATATATATATTTTTTTTTTTTTGGCATTATTATAAGTGAAGTTTATTGTATACTATCACAAAATTATATATATATTCATTTCAAACATGAAATTCTGCATTAAAAAATTAATATGCATGCTACATCTCACTTTACACTTTTTGTTTTTAGTTTGATCATAATTTTTAGTTAGCATCAAACAAAAATGTTAAACGGTTTGATGGAAAATAAGAACAACTTGAATAGTAATGTATCTGGAATCCTTTGACTTTGATACATAACTAAC